TCCACCGCCAACTCTTTGGGCTACTCTTTTACCAACGAATAGTGGGATAAACTGTAACTTTATAACGCTCCCACGGCTGAAAGGGCGAGCATGTTTGGTGGGACGGGAATTCGAACCCGCGACCCTCAGCTTGCGAGTTGAGCGCCCTAACCACCCTTGGCCATGCTGGGCCTCTTTAATGTGAACGAATCATCTTTGAAATATTAATCAAGTTTAAGATTTTATAGATATATTTCTATAGTCTGAAGCAACACGAGTATATGAACTAAAATTTTATAATTCTTTAAGCCATTGTTATCGTTATATTTCACTTTGTTGATTTGATTATTCTGGCCTCAGATTATGTAAACATACATATATAATGTTACTAACTTAGTATTTTTAGCAAATTTCAGACTATTTATGGCTCCAAGTTACTGTGTGTGTGTGTTTTTTATAAAGTCAGTCTTCAGAAATAATTATACGACATAAAGTTGAATGAAACGAACAAATTTACCTTTAAGCGGTAACATGACATTACGTTTTTTGTTATTATTTTTATACTGCTGAGGCAGTTAATCAAAATAGACGAAGATATGTCCAGCGAGTGTTTAAGCAGCAGTGTATTTATAATATACATATGTGAGGCAGAGCATATTAAAATAATTATTAGTGATTCATGATAACAAGCACAAAAAATGCAACAGGGTACATAAAGTTCGTGATCAATTGGATTAGAAAAGTTCTGGGTAGATGGCGCCACATATTTATATTTATGTAGAATGCCGAAAGTGTCGATTTTGTCTTCCGGTGAGTTATCTATGGTTTAATTATCAGGGTGAAATATGGAATCACTTTCATATTGCATATTTAATTTTAGTACTTGTGTAAACGATTATCTTTCTGAAAATTTATATAATCAATAAATGTATTTTAAGATAAAAAATGATTAATTTTGATAATTATTCTGTTTCCACTTTTTAATTTCATAGTATGTTATTTTATCAATATCTTACTCACTCTTCATTAGTTCCATTATTTCACGTGTTCTTTTGCAATACAGATATGATACCATTTCTCTTGTTTAAAATGTTTTAGTTTCGAACTCATTTCAAAATAGTTTTTACAATATTTATCTTTGAAAATCGATGTAATAGGTGTAAGAAAAGTACAAATTAAAGTATTAAAGCTATTATTTTGGGTATTTAAAAACGAAATGATGTAACTGATGACTTGGAAAAACAATGCAATTGATGAATGAAAGATACACTGTTAGAGATAACTCAAGTGACTGAGAGTGGAAAACCTCGAAGCTGCTGATACATGAAAATATTGTAACAATATGTGATATACGTCTTGAGTCATATTTGAACAACTTAACATTCTACTTGCTGTTAATGAGGCAGTTTTGTTGATTTTTCAAGAGAAGACGCGATTGTTGCATTGAAAAAATTACGATATCGTTATGTGAATAAAATATTGTTTATAGTGTAGAATCGTTTGATGAATAATGAAGTTTAGGTGTATTCGTAAAAAATATATATAAAACTTTATGTTGAAGTTGTAAATTACGCATTTGAGATGGTTAATTTCATGACAGCAATCGGCTATAGCTGTAAAAACAAACAAGCAAATTCAATCAAAATTTAAGTATGATAATTGCACAAGGAACATAAACAAAAAGTGTAAAAAATCCCCAAACGATAAGGTAGAATAATTTTTAAATCATATTTCAGCATTCAGTGTCCTTTTAGGATTTAATAACAAGCTACTTAACAGGAGCCTTTTTTTATTAGTACTCCTTGAAACATTTTTCGGAATTTCATATTTCAAGTATTAACGTAGGCTTATGAGTGATAAGTATATATATATAACAACACATTAGAACTGTTGTTCTTTCATGCATTATTTGTTTTGTTTAACCTTGCTTAGACAAATGTAATCAAATACATGAAATCCCTACTGTGTTGTCAAGCCAGCAGAATAAATATTTCAACATTACGAGGAAATATTTCACCTTTGATATAAAAACTTGTAAGATTATTGCTGAACGTTACAATACAAAATTCAATAGTAATTAAAAAAGTAATTGTGTTATTGTTTGATAAATACAGTTAAAAGTCCACGAGACAATCATATCACGAAGGTAAGATTCATATTAGCCAACCTACTGATTTGGTTGTAGTTAAACATAAACCTACACAATGGGCTAACCGTGATCTGCCCACCACGAGTATCGAAACGAGTGTCATAAACTTTCAGACTTACCGCTAAGACACTGGAGGGCGCCAAGTAACTAATGAAATGTTTTAATACTAAATAAAACAGGTTAATTATTTGCAACTCTGTATGTTATCAGTGTAAAAAATATTTAATTTAAATCTAGATCATAAATAAATTGAAAGTTCTGTTGTTTTTTCGTGTGTATCGTACATTGGTCAGAGATAGGTTAATTGGGGGGGGAGGGGACTCTATTTCGTAAAGACGAGAAATGTTATCAATTAATTCAGCCGAGTGACTAAACATTTTACTATTTGTATATAAAATAATTGGAGATAAATTCTGGTAGTTAAATGTTGATACTTCAAATAACTTATGAAAAAACTTCGTACGTTCAATCATTTTGTCACGTCAGGAGAAATAAATTAAAATATATATATGTATCAGGGTACAAAATTTCTTATTGGTCCTTCACGAAAATTGTAACTGGACTTCTAGGTATTCTAAACGATCCTTATCAGGTTTGACTGTCCACTCCAAGAACATGTATATATATATATATCAATTGTAGGTATGAATTTAAAAGTAATATACAATTGTAAATATTTATGTGGATATATGTGTAACATTAAACAAAGCCTTTTACTTGAAAAAACAGTTTTTGATTATATCGCTCATGTAATGTACATAACCATTCTATTAAAACAAATAAGCACGAAAAAGAATGTGACTTGAGATTACTATTTTAATATTGACCAAAAGGTGTTTTTCAATTGTTAGTATTCGTCACGATTCGTTTTGATCGATCCTGCCAATCTCACGTTCCAGGACTTTCTCATAATGTTTACAAATAGGCTAGGGATCCCCAGAAAGCTAGAGGCTACATTTGGGAAATTGAAGTAAGGAGGATAACTTTCACGAGATGAAAACGTAACTATGGTTTGAGAAAAAAATAGAGAATTGCACATTTGATTGCAAGGTAAAATAGGAAAATTGCTTGAAATTATAATCGGCCTTGTTGGTTATCCTAGTCGACCCACGGACTTCTAACTAGCTAATCAGGGCAGAGTAACTAAACGACACGAATATCATACCCTTATATATATATATATATTAATGAAGAACGTTAGAGGATAATACACTAAGATTTACGTAATTTAAAACGTATTTCTGTTATGTTCTGTTAAATGACTTTTAATTTTAAATGTATTGTAGTACTTAGTTTATTTAAAAAACAAATCTACTTACGGAAGGAACTTGTTCTACAGTTCCACCAATTATTGAACTGAAATCACGATTTCGCCTGTACTTCATTTGTCCTTGTTTTACGTCACATCTCTCACACACATACACCTCATTGGTTAATAAAGATGTTGAGTGATGATATACGTCATAGTCTATAACCTAGTTATGGTGTAAGTAGTGAATGAATATATATTTTGTGTTTTTACTAAAACATTTAGTATAATAAAATAAATATTTGAAATTTCCATGTATTAACAATCACTTTGGTTACAACCGTACTACAAGTTCACGTGTACGAGATACGAAGAGGAGATATTTACGTGTAACCTGTAGTACATTTGATAAAGCACACAAATAATATTTCTAAATAAGAAACGACTCATATGTAGTGTTCATAAAAAATTTCATATATGTTGCCATTTTTATTTTGTTTTATACAGTTTGGAAAATTTCTGAGAATAAAATAATCCAACTTAGTATCAATTTTTCTTACTGTTAACAAATGTGACCTCGTATTCGAGTGCAAATACGAGTTCTTTGTTGAATTAGGGTTATTATATAAAAAAATTGTTTACAGCACCTTTGTACATCATCTCTGGTCTGTGATTTTCTATCTATCTACATTGCTACACTCTAGTTCCTAGCCAGCGCGCGGATATGCCAATCAGCTTTCAGTGGGTTGACCTTTGGTCCACGTGGCACTCGTGACCACTCCTCTGCGGGCATGACGCTACGGGCAGGCGCGATAGCAAGAGACCTCGGACGAGCGGACTGCAATCTAGTCGTCGTAAAAGCGTACTATAATTTATGACGAAAGAATGGCTTCAGAGTGTTGAACTTTCTGAGAGCCGTGATATATTATCAACTAGATAGTGATATCCATATATATTTTGTTATTTGCGCGCGAAAGTTGAGGAGTATACCTTTTATCGCAGTTGCCGAGCGAGCCTACCTATTTTAATGTTATATGACGCAATATCGAATGCGGAATAGCACCTTTGTCGTTTCTATGCAATTATATATATAAAAACAGTGGTCGGATGTATGCAGGGCGTTGTGAAGGCAGTCTCGTGTAATAAATGCATTTTTCGAAATATCATTTAAAAGCTTGTCACCATAACCAGAAACTGTTGTCTTCAATCTAAAATTAATGTGTTACTGGCCGCATTCTGGTGACAATATAGTTAGTTGTTCAACATAGATTTTACACGTTGCGTATCTATGTTATATACTGTCCACATAAGAGTATATTTACGCTCATTCGAATGTGCGGACTGGAGCAGTTTATGTAAATTTATGTATTTAAATTTTAGGACGTTTCATTAGTGTATGTGTGTGTAATATGTGACGTTCACCTTTAGTTCAATCACTAGAACTGCACATGTCGATATAGTCACGAATGGGAGAAAATTTCATACGTTGGTTAACTTTCACTTCCATAAAATTGTAGTAAGAGACTTGCTCTCCCTTTCTCTTTGAGCTTGCCGTACATTAGTCACCCCTACGGAGGCTACATAAGGTGGGTTATGTCATAATCACGAGCAGCGCACACTCCAGCCAAGAGCGCAGGATACGGAGAAACTCACCAGTGACCACTACACGTACCTCACACCCCTGCCCTCGCTAGCTCAGTCGCTTTCTTCGGTGGGCCGCGTGCACGTCGACTTTGAGTGGCGAGTAGTCTGAATGAAGCTACATATGCGTGCGCAGCACTTATAATTCTGACCAGCATATCCAATATGCAGATAAGGTCAACAGTAAGTTGGCTTGGCGACCCATAAATTAATGCAGGTGCAAGAGATTAGATTATTCTCTGTGCAGTAGTAGAAACTACATTTATTCGTTTGAAGTACTTGTAGAACTAACCACGCCATCGTTGTCTTTCTTAAACCAGATGAAATGTCACGAAGAAAGCAGGAACGACCTCAACCAAGAAAACTAATCACTGGTAAGTAGACATATTATGTTCATAATTAAAATATAAACTATAGGTTGACTACACTTTTTTTTCTAGACGAGAGAGAGCTTCGGGAACTCTATAGACTATGTCTTTTTCTGGTCAAGGACCGTGACCAATATCAGTTATTTGTGACAAACGCTATATACCGTGTTTTTAGTGGGTTTGACGTCCTCACTGTACTTGTATCATTTTTCCGACAAGCGAAACGAGCTCGCTAGTGTTCTTATGATGAAAGTCTTGTGTTCTGAGAGAATTTGTTACCATTGAAACAATCAGTAAATGTCCAAATAGTTTTTAAGCTCTGTGATGAAGACTACGCTATCCCGCGGTGCGTGTGAACTCGCTGCAGTTTAATCAGGCTTTGTAAAAATGAATAGGCTTAACACTGCCCTATATTAAAGCTGTATCGGAATGCTGAGGGCAGTGGAGTTACTAACGTGCTAACGTTGAGGGAAGCAGAGCATTAGGCAGTAAATAAATAAATATATATATTAATGATCAAACTATCAAAAAGCGCACCCGTAGTCCTACATATTCCACGGCTTTTAAACATGTCCACTAGCACGACTTTCGACTGGTTGTACACAGACTGCAAGAAGACCTTGTGCAACTACGCAAGCCCAACAAGTAAAAAAAAAGAAAGAAACGTTTATGTAATGGTTGGTCGTAAACAGAAACCAGTTGCTTTCGTCATGGGCTGTAAGAGCCTATAGCAATGCTAAACATAGATACATTTCTGTATACAGAACTACATCGGAGGTATTGCGTTTATTTTTGTACAAGTTTTAGTTCCTGATGAAGAAAAAAATCGATGTTTCTAACAATATACGCAATTAGAATACAAGTTTAACGGAGATGATATATATTCATATGTGTTTTTCGTTACAGTATATCGTTTCAAGTAAAAGTATTTGTTTTCTATTTGACTTTTAAATAGATAATAAAATCTATTTGTGATTTTCCTGTGCTCGAAACAAAATCACCATCAGTTAACATCATTACTACATCTTGATGTTACAAACTGTGTAACCCTACTATAATAATAAAATAAGTAAAAAAGAATAACGTGTTGTGATTCATTGAACTTCTGGAAAAGTACCGAAGGCTGTTAAAAGTATTGAATAATTACTTTAAACAAGTTTTTCTTCGGTACCTATAGGATGGTATACATCTGTGAGAAAAAGACACATTTCGGATAGAAACAGCAGATAGAAAAAGCCATTGAATCTAGTACACCAAAGGGCAGTATAACTTAAGTATGTGATAAGCATAAGAACTCAATTTGACATTGTATGTGTCTCGTTAAACGCTATTACACAATTAAAATAAATTTTTTTATTAACGTTTGAACACCGGCTGTACTAACTTCAACAGTGTTAATGTTTTTACCTATATCTAAATATAGTGCCATAGATTTTGTCATGTGGATAGAAGACAGTTCAGACAAGTCATGTATAACAATATGTATGGCGTTTATAAACTCAGGCATATTTCATGGGGAAAAAATGTTTCTAATAAATATAACTCGTTGCCTGAAAAATCACATAACCTTGACATATCCATAGCATGATAAGTTACTTTTAGTTATATCTACTATCACATTTGGAGCTGGCCAGCCGTCTTCGATTCCGTGCAGTAACACGACATATTCCGCGCAATTTGTGTTGTGAGTGGTACGTTATAATAGCGAGAGTGAATGGTGGGTTGTGGGGTGCTGATCACTGGCTGCCTTTACTCTGGTCAGTAGTTCAAAATTAGAGACGGCGGCATATAGCCTGATATAGCCATAAGTACGAAATAAGTACTTTTCAAAAATATTATGGTAAGTTCACACACAGACAGATTTATAAACTGTAATTAAGTCAAATAAATAAGTACGTAATATATACAAAAACACAACATACAATTTCTAGAAAAAGATCGTATTTTTGTAGTGAACTAAAAACAGATTTGTGAGAGTAAATATTTGTTTATTCTACTTATACACAAACATATATCTTTATATGCATATTTAAATATTCTTTTCTCATATTACAGTCAAAGTACAGAGGTGTACAACTGTATATAATATGTAGAAGTATAATTTGGGTAAAGTAATTATGACTTCAAGAAATTCTTTGTTAACAATGCTTTTGTCTGTGTTTCCATACGTATGTGGCCCGGCATGGCCAGGTGGTTAGGGCGCTCGACTCGCAATCTGTGGGTCGCGGGTTCGAATCCCCATTCCACCAAACATGCTCGCCCTTTCAGCCGTGGGGGCGTTATAAGTGACGGTAAATCCCATTATTCGTTGGTAAAAGAGTAGTCCAAGAGTTGCCGGTGGGTGGTGATGACTAGCTGCCTTCCCTCTAGTCTTACACTGCTAAATTAGGGACGGCTAGCGCAGATAGCTTTGCGCGAAATCCGTAACAAACAAACCATACGTATGTATATGCATATACATATTGTAGTATACAGTATTTGTGTGTTACGTTATTTTATCAGTCTTCACTTGTAAGCCAGGATAACAAGACGATTCACCGGAAACCCACGGTATTAGTCACTGAACATAAAAAAAAAATCATTAGTCATCTATTCAAAGAAATTATAGAACTGGAATATAAAGGTGTTCTATGAATCATAAAGTAACGATCTTAAAGTATTATTAAATATTTGTGGCCGGTACCATATTATTGAATTACTCTGTATTTTATGAGTGTCGAAAATATATGCTATTACATCTGTTTATTTGCGTTTAATGTTTTATGTGATTGTCTGTGGCGTGACTGCACCTTATATACATTTATGATATAAAATGACGTATCCTTTAGTAAAACAAGAATAATAAACATATAGAAAAATAGGCAAAATTACCCGTTATGTTACTGTTGATTACACGTGGAGTTTAAGCTTCGAGTAACTATTGGACATAATTGGCGAGGAGTAAGCGTGTCTTTGACTTATTTTTGATTTTTTCTTCACCTTGTGTTTTTGTTGTTATTGTTGTTTTGGTACTATATCAAATACAGGTAGATCAGAGACAAGGAGGAAAAATAAACTTTTCAAAAATTATAAATAAATTTTATGTTCAAAATATTTTCAATTCATACACATCTAAAAACTGGATAAAGAAACCAGTATATTGTGGATTACATCTAATTCTTCTAAGAATGATATTTTTTTGTATAAAATTGGGCTACATTTGATATTTCACTATCAACAGAAACCGTTGTGTACTTTTAAACTAAGGTTTTGTTGTTAGAGAATAGGGGAAAATCTAAATGAAAGATGAAATATAAGTGAAGAAGACAAAGAAGCTTAAGTTAGTTTTGTTTCAAAATTCGCAATCAGAAACAGTTGTTAGTGGTGTTACAATAATTAGAAAACTTGAATTAATGGTATTATTAATAAATTTATCAGCATAAATGGCGAAATCTTATGTTATTTCAAAATATTTTGATAAGTTATAGAGAAACAAAAATATTTTTTAAGAAACAACTTACAGGCCACAAAGAGTACAAGATGTGTAATGTCTTAATGCTATAGAATACAGCACAGAGTTAAAGAGTCTGGTTGAGATAACGTAGAAAGATTTTGACAAAATTATTATTTTTTTCCATAAAGTTCTGTAACATTTAAAGAATTACTGAAAGATGTCATTTAAAAACTCAGAACAGTTGGTAGTGCACTGACTTTTGAATACTGACTATACTAATATAATCTTGTAACAGGTTCTATTATTGATTGAGTACTTTTCGTTAAAAAAACAAGAATGCAAAGTCCAACCCTCTTAATAACCAAATCGTATCATTTATCCGACTTAAGGTTCTACGCTTACAGGGGTCCCCCGGTGGGTCAGCGGTAAGTTTATGGTCTTACAATGTTGAAATTCGAGATTCGATTCCCTGAGGTGGACAGAGTAAATATAGCCATAAATAAACTAAGCTAGTAAATAAACTAGTATAGCTTAGCACTAAGAAAAACGACAATAAAAACACCTACATGCTTACTGACGATAAGCCTAACTTCAGAAACAACGCTAAGTAATCGCTTGGTAATTTTCTCGTATCTACATTATTTCGTATCTTTACTGTTGCGTCGAAAAACAATATCCGTGTTCATGTTACTGAAATAACAGACAAATGACTAACGAACTCAATAATCAATCAACTACTGTAACAGACTATAATCTGTCAACAATCTCAACAACCTACTTTAGCATAACTCGTGTTTTTATATCGCTCAGTAGTTTCCTAAACGTTCAAAAACTTTCGGTCGTTGAGCTACCACAGGTCACATGACTCAAACTCCCTCTAGGCAATAAAACAAAAATAATAACACATAGCATACAACACTGCCTTCTCCCTAGTTGTGAAAAAATCCTATTACAAAAGAAGACAACTGTAGATTAAACTGTAATTAACACTTAATAATCGACAACATCAATATTCATAAGATAGACATTACAATCATCACGTGATTCATTAAATGTGTGAAACAAAGTAAAATAAGACATTTGATCAACAAAACGAAGTTTATCTACTTATTTACTGTCTCTAAACTGTTCAGTCACCAATTTTTTTATGGTTTTTCTTTTCTGTGGCTTATGGTAAGCAGATGGGATAACCATTTGTCCTTGTCGCTTAATGGGTTAGCGGTAAGTTTATGAAATTACAAATCTAAAATTCCTTGCAGTGGACAGATCACAAATAGCCCATTCTATACTTCTGCGCTAAAAAATAACCTATTGTCCTTTATTAACACTTGCTGTCTTGTCACTGGGGGAGTTCTCTTCATGTAGACTATCGAAGAAATCCTCTAGAGGGTCCAGCTCTAGTGGTATCTAGAAGTGATTTCGACAAGAATCTCGAGCTCTTAAGTAGCTTGGCTTATTTTTGGTGATGTCTGCTCTGAAGCTAAACATTTGGTCATTCTCCCGTTGACATACTCCCAAAGACGGTTACAGTGGATGATCTTGGGTTTGGACCACCTGTCTTTCGAGATTCTGG